TGATATCAAGAGTCCAGTAGACAACAAGTTACCTTGGTCGTGTTGGAACATAACTGTTTGATATCAAGAGTCCAGTAGACAACAAGTTACCTTGGTCGTGTTGGAACATAACTGTTTGATATCAGGAGTCCAGTAGACAACAAGTTACCTCGGTCGTGTTTGAACACAACTGTTTGATATCAAGAGTCCAGTAGACAACAAGTTACCTTGGTCGTGTTGGAACATAACTGTTTGATATCAGGAGTCCAGTAGAAGTGTTCCAACACGACCGAGGTAACTTGTTGTCTACTGGACTCCTGATATCAAACAGTTGTGTTCAAACACGACCGAGGTAACTTGAAATATTTGATATCAGGAGTCCAGTAGACAAGTTACCTTGGTCGTGTTGGAACACAAATGTTTGATATCAAAAGTCCAGTGGACAACAAGTTACCTTGGTCGTGTTGGAACACATATGTTTGATATCAAAAGTCCAGTAGACAACAAGTTACCTCGGTCGTATTGTAACACAACTGTTTGATATCAAGAGTCCAATAGACCAGAAGTCACTTTGGCTGCATTGGAACACCAAATATGGCAACATTTTCAGTGAATTCATCTTTACCGAATATAATTAAAGTATATTATGTATATGTTTGTTTGTTTCAAATATTCGCACAAAGCTACAGAAGTGTATGTTATCTTTTCTAACTGTATCTAATTTTGAACTGACAGACTAGATGGACGACAGCTTTTTGAACTGACAGACTAGATGGACGACAGCTTTTCCATAGTGAGCTCTTGCACCACTCTAACAAATATTGGGATGGGACCGTCCCTCTTTTAACACACCTCAAAGTGCGGATCACGACTTATGTGTGTGCATGCGGTGCCGAGACGCGAACCACGGACCCTCCGATCGAAATCCTCGCAAGATCACGACTTATGTGTGTGCATGCGGTGCCAGGACGCGAACCACGGACCCTCCGATCGAAATCCTCGCAAGCTGCCATTAGGCCACGCCCGGATCTATATACATGTACACCATACGCAGTGTGTACTATCAGAGTTCGCTGACAACCACTTTCAGTCTTTCACTTTATTCACGAGCTGATTATATTAAATGGTTCTGACATTTACTTAAATGCACACTAGAGTAAACTTTTACTCGTCTAAAGTTAAGTGGCGTTTATTGACAACACCTGCCCTCTGGCAGAGGACCACGGCAAAAGTTGTTTATCCCATTAATTAATCACCGTTCGAGTAGAACAGTTTTAACTTCTTTTTTTTTTAAATCTCCAAAAAGAGTGAGCAAAGTATATTTGTTTTAGAATTCAACTCTTAAAGTTTAGATAGTTCTGTAAACATATTTCCACACTGACAGTATATAGCAATAAACCATTTATAATCAAATGACGTCACTTTTATGTGTATATGAAGTAAGTTGACTTTCAGTTCCATTTTCATGGGTTTTTCTTTTTACATAAATAATAACAATTTAACTTTTATTCGATTGCGCATCTTAGTTAATAGGACCTATTTTACCCCTTTCGAGATAGACTGGGGATGGCGTTAGATGACAGACTGACCAATCGACTATCAACACGTCTAATCTCGTTAAGCCCCGCCTTCTGAATATGTTAGTGTGAAATTACGTCATTTTTCCCTTTAATGTTTTATCTCGGTATGAACGTTATCTAGAGTTATATAAATTCACAAATAAAGAAGTTTAACGTTGTTTTTATTGCAAAAATAAAGAAATAAACTTGAAGTCCACAGATTACATTTCCAAACTTGTTTGTAATTAAGCACGAAGCTACACAATGGGTTGTTTGTGCTCTGCCCACCACGGGTATCTAAACCGGATTCTAGCGTTGTAAGTCCGCAGACATACCGCTGTGCCACTGGAGGCGACATAGGACGGTGTATGTGTATATATTAAGCTGTTGATTTACAACTCATTAGAAATGTATTGATGAACTCTCGTCATCATTATAACAGTTAGTGTATTACAGTTTAAAAAAAAATCGTTGTTTACATCTCTATCATGATAACCTTTGCAATATGATATGATGTTTTAACAGCGTGTAACGGAGAGTTTTAGTTTCGTCTTTGTGTTGGTAATCGTCATATGTTAATAATACTTAGTCTTATAACACTGCCCCCCCCCAGTGGAACAGCGAAATGTCTGCGGACTTACAACGCTAGAACCCGGGTTTCGATACCCGTGGTGGGAAGAGCACAGAGAGCCCACTGCGTAGCTTTGTGCTTAATTACAAACAAACAACAAACCTATAACATTGAAATTTTCATTATTAGTTGTTGTTTTTTTTCTCTTAAGAATTAAAGACGCAAGTTGGCAAGCCATATGAAAAAGGTCTTATTTTAATTTTAATAATAATAAAAAAAAAATTTACTGTTAAGCCCCACCCGGGAAAGTATATGAATTTAAACATTTTATAGGTATTTTTATTCTCGCTGAAATGATATTTCGTAACTAATGGGTTTCTCATTAAATTACTTTGTTAACAATTTTCAGACGTTATACCATGTAGCGTTACTGTTAGTAATTACCAGTCACTTTAACCCCAAGAAAGACTCACTCCGTGGATTCTTGTATGCCTTTGATGATGTCACATCGTGTGGCAGTCTCCGTCCAATGACAATTAAGTACACAAGTGTTGCGTAATCTTAATGTGTAATAATCAATACTTTTTACCACAGGTATGTCATATTAGTTATAAGTTTCAGTTATATAAATATATATATATATATAAGCGAACACAATAAACCTCACAGTTTATTCTTTAAAACTGACAGAAAGTTTAAAATTTACAATATTGCATAGAGTTTTAGAAAACCGTATCGGAGGTTTTGTTTTAGGTTTTAATACTGTATGAGCTTCACAATGGGCTATCTGTGCTGTGCCCAACTCTAGTATCGAAACTCGTTTATTGGCGTTATAATCCTTCAGACTTACCGCTGGGCCACAGGGGGAGGGGGCGTATATGAAATATTAGAGTATTTTATGTTTATTTTTCAAGTGTTTCTAGCACCGCTAGGTCAGACTGACGAATAACTGTATTCGTACACATAAGCTAAAATCTTTGTTTTCAAATCTACAAGGGAAAAAAAAAATCCAGAGTTATCCGTTTTGCTAAATTTAAATAGGAATATAAGGTACTATTATCAGATTTTACTGCATTTTCCTTTCAAGTATTCCACGTTTATTGTTAAAATCATAAATAATATTCAACGTTAAACTGGTACACAATTAAAAACATTTTATTTAGGCCTATCTATGGCCTTCAATAAGTTGACGAATCCACATGTTTCGACGTTACGACGTCATTCTCATTATTTTAACTTTATACACAAGTGCCAAAATACTATAATTACGTTTATTTTCGGCGTCAATGCTTGTTTCGATAAATTCCCGTTGAAACAACAACAACAACGGTAAATTATGGTGATTAAAAACTTAAAAAACAAATTGCAATTGCTAACACTAGAACTCGACAGTTATATCGATCGTAACAAGTAACGTAGTAAAACAACTAAGGTACGAGGTTTGACCACGACTCACTGCGCCTGTAGTACATACTAGTAAAGAAGAGTAAAAAACCAAAAACATACCTTATTTTCTACGTTTAACGTAGGACAGTCTCAATATATTTCCCACGATGATAATTTGCAGTTCAATCTTGTTAGTTTTTATCGTTACGTGTTATTCTATAAAACAGCATGGATGTGCTCTTTTATAGCCTGGTATTGACTCGTATGAACCAATAACAACGATGAATACACTGCTGGGGCCTGACGTTCACCATAGCAACAGAGATACCACTGTTGAACCGGAGGGGTGTTTCCTTCCCATGAATAACAAATTCTTACATATTATTATTGTCCGTTTATACCAAAGGTAATAATATTAAACTATTAGCATGATCCAAATGTGTAAAAGCATTAAACAGAAAAATTCAAAAATGTATTTCCCGTGATATTTAATAACTTACGTGACAATGATATCCATCTTTCTCTCCAATTACTCGTTCTGTCACATGACTTCCATCAACTCTGAAACGTAAACAAATAAATGCCCCTCCCCCCTTTCCCGCCACAGTTTTCAAGAAATAAATTATGCTATTGGATTTTAAACTAATTCTATTCGCAAGTTAAAACGATAGTATTTCTAAAAGTGAACTTATTGACTCAATTTTTCTAGAAGCTTCAGATAAGATAGAATGTCACCCGTACACTGAATACTGAAAGGGCGTTCAATAAGGCCTGCCAGTTTAATATTATGGTTAGGGCAACTAAACTCCCTTTCACATTTCCATACCCCCCCCCCCCAGTAGCACAACGGTATGTCTGCGGACTTACAACGCTAGAATCCGGGTTTCGATACCCGTGGTGGGCAGAGCACAGATAGCCCATTGTGTAGCTTCAAAAACAACAACAACACTTTTCCACTGTCTTTCCAAATAAGTTCTCTCAGACCTAAACGTGATCTGTAAAAGAAAGAAATGCCTTATTTCTTGTACTAAAAAAGTACAGATCGTGTCTATCAGTCTCTCTCTTTGTGTGAGGTAAACATGCAAGGAGTTAAAATATAGTTACCTATCATGTTTTAAATGTGTCTCTTAAGCAAAGGGTTGTTGATGAGTTATATTCTTAGAAATGTTGATGGTTTTAAAGGCATAATAAAAAGGTAGGTGGTCATTAATATAACTCAGTAACAGTACAAACGTTTCTTTTGACAGCTCATTGTGTAACTTTGTGCTTTACAACAAGCAAAAAAGTTGCAAAAAAAACTTAAGGCGCGGGGGTCATGATCTTAATCGAATGTTTTTGGTTTTAGAAGATAAAGTACTAGTTGTCCCCCAGTGGCACAGCGGCATGTCTGCGGACTTACAACGCTAGAAACCGGGTTTCGATACTCGTGGTGGGCAGAGCACAGATAGCCCTTGTGTAGCTTTGTGCATAATTAAAAACAAACAAAGAAGTACTAGTTATTTTCTAAGACAGTAGTAGAACTAGCATATTTAGGCATCAGTGACTGATAATCAGTGATTTTAGAAGACTGAATGAAACCTGAAAGAACACTTCTATGCCAGTCAGAATTTGGACCGTTATAGCGATGAAAGGTGAGCTAACCTGACATCAGGTGCGTCTTCTAACTGATGCTCAGTTCAGAATCTTAAAGACCACCTCGTAAAAATGATGGAATTTAGTAAATGAAGACATTGATGTAGTTTCTGGGGTGTATGCCCCTCTTTCTATGGTAGGCAAATAGAGATACTTCGTGCAAAACAACGGTTTGTTGGGGAACCTACCCGACTGATGCGAGATACCAAAAACAATATTCAGATAAAAAAGATTGTTACACTTACTGCTACACACGTAGCATGGACAGGTATTTTATGAAGTTAACGATATAACAAGTGAATTATCAAATGATTTCAGCAACAGAGGAAGCATGGAAATTTTCTCGCATGTTGGCAACTTTCCAAAAAACGTTTTCGACCTGTAGGTTATTAAATACTGTACCTCTAAGATGAATAGCATTTTTTTTGTCACTTAATGAACGCCATTACCTCCCCTGAATAAACAAACTTTCAAAATTTAGTTGTCAGTTGTGTAACTCACATTTTCATTAAATCTTATGCAGTACCTACACAGATGCCCCCCAGTGGCACAGCGGTATGTCTGCGGACTTACAACGCTAGAATCCAGGTTTCGATACCCGTGGTGGGCAGAGCACAGATAACCCATTGTGTAGCTTTTTGCTTAATTACCAACAAACAAACCTACACAAATGAGAATGAGCAGATTTGTTGGGGGTCAAGATTAATTTAACCCCTCCCCTCAAAAGCTCACATCTAATATTCCTGAGAAAATACGAGTTATATTTTTGTGAAACAGAAAAAAGCCTAAAATGATATCTAAAATATTTGAATACATACGACTTGCGCCTCTTCCCAGTAGCGTAGCAGTAACGTCTGTAGGTTTATAATGCTAAAAAAACGAGTTTAGATACCCGTAATTGGCACAACACAGATAGCCCATTGTGTAGCTTTGTGCTTAACAACAAATGCGAGATTATCTGAGGGCAAATTAACACAGTAGAACACACACTAAGCCGTATACTTATGAAAGTTTTTGTCGCAAGGTACGTATAATGATGCACCGTACAACCGACCAGGTTGATATAGAACTACAAACATGAACGTTGGTTTTAGACATAGTGTAAGGGTATGAGCCGGCAGAGTCTATCTGTTCATAAATATTAGTTTTTAGATTCAAATATTCTGTCAGGATTTGGTCTGGTTTGAATTTCGCGAGGGTTATTTGCATTAACCTTCTATAGTGATACACTAGAGGGAAGACAGCTAGTCAACACCACTCACCTCCAACTCTTGGGCTACTCTTTTACCAACGAATAGTAGGATTGACCGTAACATTATAACGTCCCCACGACTAAAACGGGCAAGCATGTTCGGTGACAGGGATTGAAACCCGCGACCCTCAGATCGCAAGTCGCTTCTGTCAAGACAACAGAATGTTTCTGCCTGTGTGTATATACATAAAACTCTAGACTGCGACTGCGAAATAATTATATAAACCACATAAGGTTTGCTATGTCTCTATAAATTGCTTATGCACTAAAATAACTTTTATGTTAAGTTAAATAAGTTTAACTGAGTTTCTAACTTCAACATCAAGACTTAGACTCCGTTATTTAATGCTGCTTAGGCTTAAGTTAGAATAGGTTATATTTTCGTGAATATAAGCTAATTATTATACCGAGAGTTCAAATTTTGGAATAGGTCTGGGAAGGTTGTTGTTTTAAGCCTCGTATACGATTATTATTAACATTTTTAACTTGCAGGTATTAACCTCAGAACTACTGACTTCACTAGAAAGTTCTTAGGAACCTAATGGCCAGCTAGCAAATCAAGTCTCGTGTGCACCAGAGTAAGGAAAGTTGAGTTGTTTTCTTGAGTGGCTCTCTGAATCCAAACTGAACTGAAAGTAAAACAGAAATCCGGAAAAATTTACATATAATTTTCTATGGGAGTAGTTAACACATTGTACTGCCTTGTACCGCAATTTCTTTGAATTATAGGCTTAGCACTTAGCTGTCATTACATAACGGATTTTATCGGAAAGTATTGTTTTTGTTTGTTTTTTGGAATTTTGCGCAAAGCTACACGAGGGCTATCTGCGCT